TCATATACATCCTAAATATCATTCAAAACACTGAATTCCTAAAAGGTTCTTGTTTCCTCTCCAGTTACCAAGCCATGTTTTTGATCTTCTCAGTGTTTTTTTCTGCCCTGTCACCTATCCCACACAGCAATGCAGACAGAGAGGAGACTTGCTGTATATGTGAAACGTAATATGTATATCTGCCTACTCGTGGTAAGGCTCATGCTGAGCTCTCCTTCCAACACAGTTTAAGCAGCTTGCAGAACCTTTGCTGAAGCTGTTTGAGGCAAAAAAAAAAAAGGGGGGGGGAAGGTAGCAGGGAGGGCAGAACTCTCACTATTGAGCAAGCAAGTTGGAGACCTTGAAGTTGAGATGGTGTAACTCTGTGCTTGTGCCAACAAGTTCTCGAAGTGGTGGTTAGCCTGGCTAACCTCTCGTGTTGCATGGCTCTGTTTCTTCTAGGAAATAAGCCACGGGTTCTCTGCATGCTGCCATGGATACTTGCCTCTGCCATGACACAGATAGCCACTGGGTGCTGCCCACACCATTCTTTCCCTGTTCCTCCAGCATGTCTTCAGGCATCATCTTGGCTACAACCTAGGTTAAAGCTATCCTGACAGTTTTGTAATCCTGTAACCCTGTGCTGACTTCAACTGTTCTTTTGAGCAGCCCTGTCTGAATATAAAATCGCTCAAGCAGGTTTGGAAGCACGGTTGTAGTCCCAGCTATGTTTTGTTTGCAGAGATACTCCCTGGTTCTGTCAAGGCTAAAATTTGTCCTAGGAGTTCAAATACAGTGGCAAGTGGCACGAGCTGGGTGACTACAGCACAAGGAGTTACTGCTGCTGACTGCAGGGAAGGGGGTGGAGAGGAAAGGGAAATACCTTGTGCAGCAGATGGGATGGGAAAATCCTAATCTCCTACCTGGGGAAAGTACTCACACAAAAAAGCTTGATTTCTCTCCTGGCTCCATTTCCTCTGGGTCCATACCTTGGAGCAGAGATGAGGTCTGGTGGCAGGGTTTGAGGTGGCTGTATTTTTTCCTAGTGAAAGTGAAAAACACATGTGATTCTGCATGGAGACAGGGAAGGGAGACAACCGAGACAGGCAGCTCCCTATATTCCCATCTGCCTTCAGCCCTGTCCATCTGGAAGTGCTTGCGGTTCAAAGCACAAGGGAGAAGGATTTGTGTGCTCATTGTACCACCTGCCTCCCCTCACACCTTTCCTGGGTATCTTTGCTGTGTCCCTGCAGCCCCGAGGGGCACTAGTGCAGTCTGCAAGATCCTTGGGGCTGGAGTCCCTCCCGCTGTGAAGTGCCTGTGGGCATTAGCAGAACGCTTTGCATTGCCACATCCCCCCTACCTAAGAGAGCTGAGTCGATCTACCCCGTCCTGCCACACCACTCTCCCAACACACAGCTGCTCTCTGCATCTCTCTCCTTTCTCTTCTCTCTCAGCTCCACTCTGCCTGGTTCCTTTCTCTTCTTACCGCACTCCCTATCTCTCCATCTGTCACTCCCATTGTCTGCCACCCCCAGCTCTACTCTCCCCCTCTCCTTCCGCTCCTCTCCTCTCTCTCTCTCTCTCTCTGCATCCCAGTTGCTCCCCCTCCTTCTCACTGTTCTCTTGCCCTATCATTCATCCTCTCATTCTCATTCTCCTGCTGGTGTTTCTGTGCGTGGCACCGATTGGCTACCGGGATCCTTTCTGGAGTAGCTGACATTCCACTCCATCTATCTAACCCTGGCAGACAAGCCCCCCCTCCAGCAGATGGCAAGGGGAGCGTGGGGAGTTTGAGGTCTGTCAAGCCACCAGCGTCAGGGGCATCACATCCCTGGAAGGACGCAAGCACAGTCGGCTGCCCATCAGCGGGCGCAGCAGTGGGGCACAGGGCTGAGGAGGAGACGTCCCACATCAGTAAAAGAGGGGCAATGGGCAGGTCCAGGAAGAAAGACTTGCATCTCTGATATAGTACATTTTGGGACTGGCTCCCTCCTGGGATTGCTTTTCTCAATTGCTTTTAACAAAGGGGAAGGGGAAAAATATGACTTGGATTCTCCTGGTGAAGCAGAGGAAAATGTACATCCCAACGACACGTAAGTACCAGGCGGCTCTGCCTACCCTTCCCAGATGGCTCCCGCGGGCATGAGTCCATGCAGAAGTTGACTCTGTAGTCCCAGAGAAGAAAGACTGCCATCCCCCCCTTCCCACTTTGCCAGCACAGAGTTCAGCCCTGCAATGGGGCAGGGAGAGAGCTGAGCTATAATGGGACTGTGGAACAAGTTGAAAGGAAGGGGAGGGTGGCAAATGTTGCAAGTTACTGAACTCAGTGGTCCCTCCCAGCTTCTATTCCTGTTTTATAAGCAGATATAGCCTCAGCTTGTACCACCCCCCCATCTCCTCTCATTCTATGCAGAAAAAAATATAGAAATAAGATTTTATTTTCATTAAGAAGAATGGCAGCATCTACTCACTGCCTGCCCTCTCCGACCCCCTGCCTTCTAGTTGTATGGACCAACTATGTTCTGGCAGCACCTGTCTGGGGATCCCAAGCCTCTTCCACCAGGTATTCTCCATATTAGTCAGGGCTGACTCCAAACAGCTGCTGATACACTTTCAGTTTGAGGCCAAAGTTTCCCATCAATTCTCACCACATGTAGGCACTGCCAAAGCATCCAGGAAGGTAGACCTGACCTGGATCAGGCTCTGATGTCAAGTGGGTGTTCTGTCCATCTAGACTGTGTCTGATATGGAATCTAAGCTGTAGAGGGTACTTGATAAAAGTTAGAAGGGCACAGACTGCCTATGCCTTCTTAAGGAACAAGTTTCTCCATTACAGCTGTTTGTAATGAATCAGTGCTTTATGTTGCATGCCTTAGCATTTCTGGTAGTGTTTTATGAACCATGAAGTTAGATGTATTTCAAAACCACAGCCTAAGCAATCAGCTTTGCAGTCCGGACCCCAGACACATCCCAAAATACTCTACAGCTCCATTAGAAGTGTCCCCATCATATTTAATGTCTGTACAGCTCTGTATCTAGAAGTCTTTTTGGAAATTCCTACAGGAGAAATGCCCACAGGGATCCCTCATTACAACCCCATAATTTAGAGGACCAACTTCTTGTGAATACACTGCTCTCTTCTCTGACAACCTTCCCAGGACACTTTGTCCACGGCCAGCATTGCCCCTTCTCTTTCCTCCAACAATGGCCAACAGGCACACGTGTCATTAGAAAAGCATTGGAAAAAAGAATAAGGAGGAATATCCTGAAAGTTAGAAATGGAGATGATGAAACCACTTTCTATCCTGTCCACACTGACAATGTGTGGAACAGCCCAGTGCTGCAGGACCGCAAGAGATGGGCCTCCACTGAGACCCTGTGGCACATGCAAACATGGAGAACCTTAATAAGAGAACCTAAATAATTCCATTCCTTCAAGTATCATTTAAGTATAGCAGGAAAGTACTAAGTATTTCATGCACTCGTCTGTAGGAATGAGGGAAGAATGAAGTTCAGACATGGTTGTCCAGATGTTCCATTAGCCTATCAGATTAGGTTTTGTCACCATATGATTTGGTACCTTTGTGAAGACTGTCAGTTTTACTTACCTGATATACTAGCAATGCATTCAAAACTCAAGATTCCCCTGAGGTTTCCAGAAGTTGAAATGGCATCAACATAAAAGAATAAAAGCTATGTGAATGAAGTTGGAACGCTGTGAAGAATCCTGTCTGGGAGAAAAGTTTCTGGAATGTTTCTGCCTTCTTGAAAAATGTTATCGGGAGCCCTTTCCTCTGAGATCCCTAACTCTTATTTCAGGGCCAAAAAAGCTTCAGAGCTCTTCTCGGATGGGTACAGATGACGCTCAGGGTCCCTCTGCTCCTCCATCCAAGTCACCTCCATTCTCATGAAGATAATTTACCAGTTCACTCCTCCAGCAAGCTTTACCAGGTTTCTGGTAATTCTGATAGTATCACATATATCTCCCTGCATAAAGCATACCAGCTTGTCTCCAGGCTTGACTATGTGTGGGGCTGTGTTAGTCACATGCCCAATGCCATGACAAAAGACAAATGGCATGTGCTTCCTCCCTATCTGTCCTCTTGCTCCCTGCAGCTTCCAAGCTAGTGTCAGCCAAAAGCTGGTGGAGAGTGGAGGGCTTGTTTGTTCAAAGCTCTGTCTGAGTAATCTGTGTGCTGTTTCCATGCCAAAGCTTGATGTGACGGGCAATCTGGCATCTCAGATTAGGAGGGCTGGGATAGTGTTTTGATGTTGTGAACAGCTGAGGCAGGCAGAGCCTCTTCCATTAGCAGTGTGTTGCAGGGTGCAGAAGGAGAGAGGGAATTCAAGAAAGAAAGACAAAATGAGGGAGATTTGAACTAGTTCCTCTTGGGTGATCCAAAACAATCTGGGTCTTCCTTTAGTCTCAGATTGGCCCAACACAAACTATCTCCTCTCCAGCTCAGGTGCAGAATCTAGCTTCTGGCTCGAAATGAGAAAAGGGGTATTTTCATTCTTCCTGGTGGAGGAGCAAACACACAGTAACCCAGTCAGTTCAAAGCTTCAGCAAGCAAGAAGATAGTTAGTGAATTTGAGACCAAAAGCTGGATTGATACTTTGTCATTCTATACTCTTCCCTCTTTTTGTTTGTGATGCAACTATCCCTCATAAATTAGAAACAGGTGCATAGGGACTATTTCCTCCATGTTAGAGACAATAGCAGAAAATAAGAAATTTACCATTCCTATGACTAGCCTGTGGCTCTTTGCCCAGGGAATCTTTCCTATGGGGAGAGAATCGGCTGATTGTTCATTGAGCCATGTCCCTGTTTATCCCTCCATGTCCATTGTGCCTCCTATGACAGGATAGCACCAATATTACCCCAAAATGTTCCAGTGCCTAACAACACCCACAAACCTCCCTTGACTTCCCATGCCTGTCCATATCGTTAACCATTAACACTGTAATTTTATTTGTGGTTTGTTCAACTGCTATATCCCCAGTATAATTAGCTCTCTTCTCCTCTCACCTCCAGACTTCTAACTGATCCTGCAAAGAGACTGCCCCCTCCCTCTTCTCTGTTTCTGCTATGGACACTTCTGCTTTCAGCCTGCCCACCCCTGCAGCGTCAGAAGAGAGGAATGCCTCTGGCAGCTGGGCAGGCTTTGCCAGCACCAACAGCTCCACCACTGCCAGCCCTGGTGTGGTTGTCAGCGGTGTCCTCATCCCCCTGGTTTATCTCATTGTCTGTGTGGTGGGGCTGGCTGGGAATTCTCTGGTCATTTATGTGGTCCTGCGGCACTCTGTGAGTGAGTCGGTGACAAACGTCTACATCTTGAACTTGGCCCTAGCTGATGAACTCTTCATGTTGGGCCTACCCTTCTTGGCTGCACAAAATGCCCTGTCCTACTGGCCCTTTGGGTCCTTCATGTGTCGCCTAGTGATGGCCGTGGATGCCATCAACCAGTTCACCAGCATCTTCTGCCTGACGGTGATGAGTGTTGACCGCTACCTGGCTGTAGTCCACCCAGGGAAGTCTTCCAAATGGCGGACAGCAAAGGTGGCCAAGGTTGTGAGTGCAACTGTATGGGTGCTGTCATCTGTGGTGGTGCTGCCTGTGGTGGTCTTCTCAGATGTCCCCTTAGGTATGAGTACATGCCACATCCAGTGGCCAGAGCCTGCCTCGGTATGGAGAGCTGGCTTCATTGTCTACACTGCCACCCTGGGCTTCTTTGGGCCACTGTTGGTGATTTGTCTCTGTTACCTGCTCATCGTTGTGAAGGTCCGTTCTTCCGGCAGGCGAGTGAGGGCTCTATCCTCCAAGCACAAGCTCTCAGAACGCAGGGTGACCCGCATGGTGGTGACTGTTGTGGCGGTCTTCGTCCTCTGCTGGCTCCCCTTCTACGTCCTCAACATCATCAATGTGGTCTGCCCACTGCCAGAAGAGCCATCCCTCTTTGGCGTTTACTTTCTTGTGGTGGTGCTGCCGTATGCCAACAGCTGTGCTAACCCCATCATCTACGGCTTTCTCTCCTACCGCTTCAAGCAGGGGTTCCGGAGAGCAATCCTCAGGCCATCCCGACGAGTACAGAGCCAAGACATGCCAGCAAGGCCCCCAGAGAAGACTGATGATGAGGAGGAAGAGGGGGAGATCAGCAAGATCACCCAAAATGGAAATGACAGGCAGGAACACCCTCTCAGCAGTGGGGCGGGGGGAAGTAATGATCAAAAACCACTCCCTGAGGAGCCTGTGGGCTGCGAGAAGAGCAGCAGGTTGCATGTCAGTTATTTATGATAAAAAGAAAGAGGCTGGGACATGGGATCCCTTTTAGCCAGTGTTGCTCCAACTTGATGCAGATGCTAGAGGTTGCTACAAGGGAGGCACTAAAGGCCAAGACTGCTTGAAGATGAGGAGGACTCCAGCAGCCTGTGGAAAGGTCAAAATATTGTATCATCTAACTTTGGAAAGGACTCCTGGGTCTGAGTGACACCTGGAGAAGTTAAGGACATTGACAATATAAAAAGAGGAAGGGCAGCACTATGATCCGTCATTGGATTGCCCAACTGTGAAGGGAATCAACTATCATCTGACTGTGGCATCTCAAGGATGTCTTCAAAGTGGCATATGAAACATATCACCACATCTACTGAAGATTTAGAATGGATATCCCAGTGCTATTATTTCCCTGAAGGAAGACCAGGAATGAAAAATCTCTGCAGCTAAGACATACCAAACAGAAGCATGAATGGCTGACCTTTCTCTAGCTCTGATTTGCGGACAGCTTTCCCATCAGCACTAGACCTGCCTGGAGACTACTCTGACCACTCAAAGATTCCTTTTTGGTTCTATTATTTTTATAACCCCTGGGCAGACTGATAAGACTTATCTGGGGGAGCAAATGGAACATTTATTTCCTGAACTCTATACTTCTCGGAGCTTTCTTGGTGCCTCTGCACCAGGGTGGAAAAGAAGCCAATGAGGCATGGGTCGGCAGCAGGGTTTCCTACAAGAAATGCTCTTTCCCCTTTTATTTCCTTAAGTTTCACTCTAAATAAACAAAAAGCCTTGGACTTAAAGACCAACAGGGCAGGACCACTCTGTGTTTAGGGGAGAAAGAATGCTATAGATTTGGGTCTCCTGAGAATATACGCTAGCATCTAGATGTTTGTGAGACATATTTATCTCTGGAGGGCTCCTTGGCTAGTGCAGGAGATCAAGGCAAGTATCAGTACTTGGAGGTTTTTCTCCATTGTGTGAGGACTATGTGTGAGGGAATCATGCTGATACTATGAACTGATTTGTCTTGAAGGGAATGGTTGCATATTTGGCTCAGGATGGAGAAGAAATGATATATCTGCATGTATATAAAGAGGGCTGTATAGTGAAAATTTAATCCCTGGATTCCAGTCTGTGATCCCTAATATATGTGTATCTGTCCACATGAGAGCACAAGACTAGCTATGTAAACCTTGAAAGTCAGTTTCTTAGCAGGGAGAAAGAACTCGTACAGGACAATTGCATGTTCTATGGGCACAGGCATTAGATGTGCCCAAATGCAGGCACATGGGGTGTTTTCTCCTGAGGTGCCAGGAATTTATTTGACCTTGAGAAGGGCTGAAAAGGCTCTGAGATTGAGGAGTCAGTGCTGTGGGGGTGGTAGGAGGTGGACTGAGCACTGATATTAATCGTCATGTATGTAAGTTAGTGTGTGTATGAGAGAGTGTGAGTGTGGCTGTGGGATGTGTAGAAATGTGTAGAAATGTACATAAGGGGATATATGAATTTATATGAGCATATATGAAGACAAATGATGATGTTTTTATCTAATTGTGGGATCTTTAAAAGTAGATTTGTCTGTGGAGGTATGCAAGTATGTATGAAAGTGTGCGTGCATGTAGTTGGTTGTATAAGAGTATGAGAGGATGTGTGTTGGTGTGTGTGTCTGCCTGTGTGCGTCAGCTGGTGGATACAAGTGGTAGGTGGGCCTGCTAGAGTGTTCAGGCTACAGGAGCAATGATGCACAAACGTGTGGGATGAAGGTCGGTCCATCCACTTTGGCTACATTTCTGCAGGATCTGCTAAATGTCTCTCCCCATACCTTTAACTTCTCCACAAACGCTGTTGCTAAGTTACAGCCACAAAGAAGACTCTCATGCCAGAGCTCTTGGTGATATCCGGACGCTTCCTTTTTTTTTTATATAAGTAATATAGAGAAATGGGAAAGAGGAGTGAGGGACCCACCAGAAGGAAAAAGGCCTCCCTGAGAGGAGGAGATGGAGGAGGTGAGGACACGGCCAGTGGGGAGTCAATGACAAGAGCTGGCTGGGTGGTAGAAAGGTTTCTCACAGGTCATTTCAAAGAAGTCATAAAGTATGAATGGATAGCATGAGGGTCTAGTGTGCTGGGACAGGGGACAAAGGCCATAGGCCAGGAAGCAGTATGAGCTAGAGAAGTTGAGAACAAAGTGCACAGAACCATCTCACAAAGAAGCAAAAGCTGAGATCACCCCAAGAATATACGAGAAGGAACAAGGGCCTGGCAGGCAGCAGGGGCACCAAAGGACCTGAATGCAAGAAAGGAGCTCAGCAGAGCACCAGTTAGGAAACATGACCACAACACAGACCAGAGGGAAGACAGGAAAGGACTGTAAAAACATGACAGAGCTGAAGAAGCTCAGCCATGCTGTCAATCATAGGAGCAGCCACCACTTCCCTGACAGACAGCATACTTTCCTATGGCTTCTCCAAACTCTGCTTTCCTTTCTGAGCCTAGGAGATGGTGTCAAGCCATCCATACCTAAAGGCTTAGCTTCAGGAGTCAATGCTGAGCTACTAATGCTACCACTCAACCACTGCTCACCTCTTCTTGTAAAGTGCACTTGCTCTCCTGAGCTTGTGGGCAGGCACATACCCAAAAGTGCAAGCTCACCTCATGGGGAAAAGAAAACTTTGAGTGCCTGGTAATCGGTTTCTACGCTTTCCTAACTTTTTGTGTCTCCTCTATCATCCACCCACACACAAAATCCCCCCACTGTGGGCCCCATTGGGAAAGCAGACAAACTATTCATAGAAATGGCACAGACAGACTGTTGGACCAAAAAGGCCTCTTTTATTGCATGGGAAGCTCCTGCAGCATTAAACAGCAGGAAGACCAATAAAGAAATCCCAGTAGAATGAAAATAAATTGCCAGAACTTCTGCGTCTATATGAGGCAAGGAAAAGTAGAAAGAAAATAGAAAGAATAAAAATGGATAGTTATAAAAGTGAACAAGACAACACAATAGTTTAAGTGGCCATCTGTGTTGCTCCTCTTGTAGTCTGTAGCAGAAGGAGGTGAGTGCTGGGCATCACTGGCACAGAGAGGAAAAAAAAAAAAAGGAGGAGACAGAAAAGATGGTATTAGCTGGAGAACCATGTAGTGTTATTGATGGCTATTAACCAGGTGCAGAAAAATGTTTGTGATAGGGGATGAGGACTTTACAGCAGGAGGCTCACATGAGTGGGAAGCAAATATAGAAAAGGTTTCCATCTCCATTAAGTGTTCTGTACAGCTGCCCAGAGAAGGTGAGGGAGTTCCTACTGCCAACAACATTTATCAGAGATGCTCTCCTTCACCACTGAATCAAGCTGAGGCTTCATTTCGCATGCCTTTGCAGCTCCATCTGCTGCAAGCCACCACTCAAGAAACTCCACAGATCAGCTGACTTCCTAAAATACTTTTCTGCATCTTTGAAAAGCTCAAGCACTGGAATTCCAACACTGAGCAGGTACTCCGACAAATCCCTGTACATCTTTTTGGCACACAGAGTCTGAGCCCAATAGAAAGGCAGCTCTGCAGGGGTGTAGTCTGGGGAACACAAAACATATTCTGGGGACACATTTTGGACAATTGGAGTCTAGTGTAAACAGCAGTTTTAAAAGAGTCACAATTACCACAGTATTCTACCTTTTGATGTCTTCTTCACCCCACTCTAAGGCCTAATTTTCCATGATAAACAAAAAAAAAAAAAGAAGAAGAAAAAGGGATTTTTTTAAAATCTGAAATACACGATGAGAAAAAAGTGAATACTACCAAATTTGCAAAGTATAACCATTGATTAAAAACCTGTTTTTCACAGAAACAGACATTTGGAAATAAGAATGTTACCTCACTGACCCCTGACCTCCATCTTTCTCCTCAGCTCCGTCTCCATCCTGGGGCTCTTCATTTTTTTCTGTGATAATAGCACTAATCTGAATACTGTTTTGTGACGCCTTTCCCCCTCCTAATAACGGCGTAGCTGACTCTGGGAAACCCAGGCGCCACAGGGGCCATGTGCAGTGAAATTCTATCTGTGTTCAGGGGATTTGTTCTAGTCACATGTGGAAATGGATTTTTCTATCCTGGGTGCAGAGACACAGAGATAAGGGCTCCATCAAGCCTTGCGTTGCACAAAAGGTTTTATTCTTGTCACGTATAGATTAGAGCTGCAAGACTAGAAAAGGCTGCAGTGATTCCAGCAGCTCTGTGCAAATGTTTTATCATAGTCATTAGAGACATGGAGAGCCCATTCTGCCAGGTGCTGAAATATTTTGTATGTACATGTCAGAGTATATAAAAACAAATATGGAAAGGCATATGCATGTGATATATATCCATGCTTACACATGAGTGTTGATGTGACTGCATGTGTGTTTGTATGGGTATATGTGACTATATATTTTCATGTGCGTGAATGCTTCTAATTTAAATTTATTTACTCGTGCATCAGACCATATGTGGCCACCCACAAAGACACACGTGTGCCTAGACATGCTGCTATCTCTCAGCCCAAGCACGTATGCAACAACACAGCATGTTCCTCCCCCCTGCTGAAGGCGTGCGCTAAAACAGGGAACTAACAACGTGACCTTGCAAGCAACTCTCTCCATGCTCAGACCCACCATGTATGTACACCCACGTCCATTCATGCCTGCCTAGCAATGGCACCAGGCAGCTTCAGATCCATTCAGTTTAACCCTTCACTTCAGCTCTTCTGGAAAGAAATTGGCAGGGCATGGAAAAGTGATACAGGAGAGTCTGCAGTGGCAGAGGAGAGAGTGTGTTTTCAGGCTGTTACCAACACAGCCCACATTTGATGTCATTTGAAGCTATTATCAGTGAGCAACTGTATCTGCAATCTGCAGGGAAACAGCGGCTCACTTCAGGCAAAAAATAGTCCAGGCCACATTCTGCTTCAGCTACGTATGGCGGTGTGGAAGAAGGAGGTGCGAGAAGCGGGCAGGAAGCAGTTAATCTGCTGTTGAATCAGGGAAGCCAGTAAATAAAAGAGACGGGGAGATTCAAGAAAGGGAAACACCCTTCCAAAGATGTTCCTGGCTCTCCTGAGGATGCAACAGAGAACTGAAATGCTTTATCTGCTTGAACAAGTGGAAAATATGCAAATATTTGCTCATGAAACTTGCTGTTCTTTGCCTTCCCAAGCATAAAATATGCAAACGCCACGCAGAACACAGCCAGCTCACCCAGACCTCATACTTTGCACGTCATGCACAGACACACACACATACCCAGCACGTCAATGCAGCCAGCTAAAGATATGTGCTTCGTTTGCAGCACATCCTTCTTTGCATGACAAACAGGGATGTGTGGGAAGGGAATCTATATGCCTTGACTCACATACAGTGTATACAAAGAAATCTCAAATGATGCCCCATCGGCGTTTCCTTTAGAGGTCTTTAATCAGAGCTTCAGCGAAGCTGGGGGGCTGGGGGCTGCAGAGAGGGATGTAAAAACTTATCCCTAACATTTCTCTGTCTGGCATCAAAGGTCCAGGAATGTATGGGCCCAATACTTCCACACACAGAATCGCATAATGGTTGAGGTTGGAAGGGACCTCTAGAGATCATCTAGTTCAGCCCCTCCTGCGCAAGCAGGGTCACCTAGAGTACCTGGCTGTTTACTGGCCGCAAGAACAAGGAATATTGCCAGACCTTTGTAGCTTTTTCCCTCTCTCTGCTATCTCTTCTTTGAAATCCTATGTATTCATGCAAATGCACGGAGCTGGAGAATCCCTGCAGAGCCAGACTATTATGCTTTCAGAGGCATCATCACTACCACATGAACATGGTCCACTTTCAGAAGAGGTCTGTTGTGGAAAGCACCAAGCTTTGCTGCACCAGTGTCAAAAAAATGCCTGTGCTTTGTAATCTTAGGCCAGAGTGATGAACATGCCCATTTGATTGTGCTGGATCAAATGCACAGAGAACATGGCAGTCCTGTGCTCTGCTGAATGAGTTTAGGACCAGACCCTGGATGGTGTTACCAATCGATGGTGGGACTTCTCTTCCCCTGACCCACAGCTGCCAGAATGGATCCATTAGCTAGACCTATTCATCACTAGCCCAAGAGCTTCTGTGAACTGTTAAATACTGATTCCCTTTATCCTGCTGTAGGGATCTTGTTTGTTTGCTGAGAAAGCTCAAGCTCTTGTTCCAACCACTGACCACCTTTCATAGCAGCCCTTGTGAGAGTCGAGATGTCCCAAATAGTGATATACTGTTGAAAATAGCTATGTGCTCCCAGGACAGGGCATGGGAGGATGTTTGGGAGGGGACAACACAGGAATAGAAACTCACCGGTCTAAATCAGATTGGATGGAAGTAGGAAGACATATTCAGATAAAGGCAGATGTTTAAGGAAATGCAACAGAAGGAGAAGGGAACAGAATTGGCTGGTGGAGGTGATTCTTAAGAACTGGTTCAAACATACTGTAACATCATCTGATATCTCCTACCAAACCCAGATATTAGGCCTAGGTGCTCAAAAGGTAATTAGGTCTCACTGGTTGCAGCAGGGGTAGCACTCGAAGTCACATGTCAGAGTTTTGGCGGATACTTTCCTCGGTGCATGGGGAGGGGTCTCGCACGCAGGTTCACAACGTAAGAGTAAGGGGTTGTGGGTGGAAGACTGAAGCTAGGAAGGCTACCCACCAGTGGAGACAAGTACGGAGAAAGGGCCAGTCTGCATAATACACCCTTAGCTGCAGCACACAAACTGACAGAAGCGTCTGAAATACAACCCATCTGTGTCTAACAGACATGTAAGATTTTGGACTAACTCAGTGCTAGAGACTACCAGATCTAGCAACAGCTTTGACCTAGCTGTGAGCACGGGTAAACTGCTCTTGCGGCTGCCACTCCGCCACGTGGCATTATGCAGTGCACAGAAAAAAATGTGGTAGTTTTGCCAGGCCCTGATCTCTGTGTGAAAAGCTCCAGACCGCGAGGCTGACAGAATAGCCTGCAGCAAAAAAACACTGTTGGCAGAAGTACCCTTAAATTCTGCGGCAGCCTTCACAGAGCCAAGGAATTGGATGTTCCTGGTTGATCCAGGCCCCACATGGGCGGAAGCTATGAGTGAAATGTAGCCACTCCACTGGCTTTGCACAAGCCTGAGCTTTCTCAGAGGTGTACAGCACAGACTTAACCAGCCCCTTCAGTAATTTTGTGTAGTGCTGGCACTCTGGGTAGCAAGGACTGTCTGTGACACAACGCTCATGTGTGGATGGCCTTGGAGAGAACAGATTTGAAAAGATTTTTTTCCTCGACCCCCATCTGCAATTTGGCTAGAATATAAACCAGTTATAGCAGAGGGACTCCTGCTCTTACCAGGTAAGTTTGGAGCATCCCAAAACATAGAAGCATGAACATTCACTTCCACTTTTCAACAGCTCCAACTCTCCTTCCTATTTGTATATGGGAACACTAAGGAAGTGCAAGTCAACAGGACCCAGCCAAGGTCAGGCAGTAATGGAGAAGAGGAGAGCCCAGAGGAATACTGCCTGTTTGTTCCCAGCTCCGAACACTTGACAACTCGTGCGCTCTCTCCTTTCAAGGGTAGCAATGGCAGTAGCCAAAAGCATGAACTTTGCTTCCAGAAGGAATCAGCTGTTGAGCTGAACAAATCATGATCCAGTATGCGGGGGAGCAGGAGGGAGGGGAGTGAGAGCCAAGCCTGACACAGGCCAGAGCATGGGGGAGGTACTCAGAAAGGCCTCCAAAGCAGGATGGAAAAGACAGTAATTACATAACAGCACTTGGCGAGCATCTGGCTATAGTCAGCTGGGCCCCGCAAGCCCTCCCTCCCCGTGGTGCTAACAAGGAGCAGCTGAGGATACGTGTAACTCAGCGCAGGACCCCTCCGGAGGGGTGCGGAGGTAAGAGGCCCTCCATTTCTCCTTTCTGCTTGCACTGCTCTGGGAGCTTCGGAACAGAGGAGTGGGAAAGGGGGGGAAGCAGAAGCAGCTCTAATAGAGGACAAGCAGCCAGGAACGAAAAACAAGAGGCTGTTTTCCTGCCTCTCGATGTGGACAACATCTTTGTTTGGGAGGAAGTGCCCAGGCTTTGCTAGGGGAGGAGCTGTGAAGGGCGAGCTTGCGGGTGTTTTAGGGGTGTATGTGAGTATGTATAGCAGATCAGGGTGGCCCTATGGGTGCAAGGGGAGCTGTATACATACAGACGGGAGGGGAGGAAACAGCAAGGGAATTTCCTTCCTTCTCTGTGTGGGGTAGATGTGGGTAATAGGATTCAAGGAGCCACTGAGAGGAACCAGGCTTTATCCCCCTGCTTTGCCCATATGTTTGGGTGGAGAGTGAGGGCGTGCAGGAAAGGGGAGGAAATATAGGAGGAGGAAGTAGCTGCTTTTGAGCAGGGATTGCAGGAGTCTGATCTGGCTCCTGGCTGCTTGGGCTGCCTCCAAGGCAGAGTTTGTGTGATCAGAGAGAGAGGAGAAAGCTGAGTACACAAGGTGCCTCCAGGCTTGGGTTATACTTAGAAGTGTGGCAGTCACAGGGAAGCCGAACAGCATACTCAAAGCCTGTGTCCCCCAGCAGTTGGCCAGACAAGCCAAAGCCTCCTGCAAATGCAGTACCCTGCAAATGTGGTACACTGCAAAACATTGCTGATATGGCTCATTCCCTTCAGGGAACATAGCAATATTCCCCTTGCAAAAGTGCCTTTATTGGTGTAAACTGTTGCCCAGATGGACAATGCCAGAAGTACAAGTCTTCATACTCTGGTTCCCAGAGGAACCTTGTTCAGCTTGCATGACGCATTTAGTACAAAGTCCTGCCCTGACTCTGGCTTGTGGTCACAATCAGATGGGAAAAAGGCAAAGGCCATTGAAGTACTGGGCGACAAATTTTGCTTGATTGTCATCTCCTCAAGATCAGGGCTGACAACTGCCTTCCCTGCTGCCTATTCTCCTTCGAAAGAAAAAGATCGTTGCAGCCAGAGATACATCACAGAGCTTCGGAAAGTGGGTACAAAAGAAATGCGATGCTTGGAGATAAACCATAGTCTCAGAGACAAGAGGCACTGCAATAGCTTTTACAGGGCAGAGATGAGCTCTGTTGACAGTATGAGAGTTTCTGAGTTTTCTGCACCCCAAGTAATTTAGTAGGCAGCGGCAATAGCACTAACAGCTGATGAAATTCTCACCAGCAGCAGGCAGAAGTAGATAATAACATCGATCATGAAAACCTACTTCTGTAACCTGGAAAGGTTACCAGGAAGTGTTGCCCTAACCATTCCTCCTTCTTATTTTCCAAACAGGGAAACTGAGGTATAGGGCAGATATGTGAGACTTGCTTTGGGCTTCACTCTGTGTCACTGCTGGAGCCCCGTTGGGAACTGATGTGTGCTGCAGTGAATTTCATGGGCCTCTCCGAGCTCCAGCTGGGAGGCATGTTCACTCCATGTTCATTGAACTGCAGGCTGACAGGCAGCCTGAGAATATCTCCAGGCCTCCCAACCCCCATTTCTCCCTTCCCCTATATGCTCACAGCACATATTTTCCCAGACTTTTCCGCTCAGTTCTCCAGTGGTGCTGGGGTCCTGCCAAGCGCCAACCACTCTGGGAAGCAGGGAGAAGGAAAAAAAAAATGCAAGCACACATAGGCAGACACAAAACGCTTCCTCCCCTCAGGAATCTAACAGCCTTCTCTAGGTTCCTTTTGAACATACTGGAGACATAGTGCTGAGTTGGCACTTCTGTTGCTAGCCCAGCCTCCCTTCTGCCTCCTGAAGACAAAAATACACCCCCAAGGAGTATAAGTTCCCAAGGTCAGGTTTTGCTGCAGCATGATATTCCCCAAACCCTCTTCCCACTTGATTCTGCAGCGTGAGGAATGTCCCCTTGTTCCCCCCACCCTGTTCTTCCATACAAAATGCCATCTATTCTCACATTCCAGCATCACCATATATCCCTGACCCTGATGGCACAAGTAGATTGGCTTGGCAGCAGGCTGGGATGAAGACCATGGCCATAGTTTGCTCTAGAGCCTCAGCTTTGCTGGAAGGCAACTCCATGCAGCGGGGCTGAGTTCCAGACCAGGCACACTCCTCCAGGGAGGTAAGCGGGGCTTGAAACCTGCCAAAGTGCAAGCGTTGCAGCTCTGCCCAGGCAGGGAAGATAAACAGAGAAGGGAAAAGCTGGTGGGTCTCCCATCTGCTGGGAAAGCCTGCTAGAAATACCATGGCCAGAGGGGGGGAAAAAAAAAGGCATGGGGACACACAAAAGAAATTATGCAGAAGTGAATGAAAGATGAAAAAGTCTAGGGATAATGACTGTAACTGCTGGGAAGAGAATAAAGCAAGCTAAGTGAGAGGCAAGGGACACAACACAGGGAACTAGCAGTGAGGCCAGTGTCCCAGTTCACCTGAAAGAAATGCTGTCTCCTGCCCCCTACACCCCACCTTGCATGTCCTGAGATGTTCAGTCTAAGGCACAACCATGTTGCCTGCCTGCTTCTTGCACAGAGTGCAGTCTGTTCGGCCTGCATTTTGCTGCCCAGGGCTGGACTGTTCAGAAGGAAAAGGGAAGATTAAATATATATGAAGAAAGGGAACTCCCTAGGAAAGAGTTAAAAGGCGCTGAAACCCAAGCCGTTTTCAATGGAGTGCGCCCAAAGCCAGGGAGGAGAAGGGAGGGAGAGGAGAGGGGAGGGAGCGGGTCCAAGCTGAGCTTGTGCACCCAGCCAGCCCTCAGCAGTTCCTGTGCCAAGAGTCAGCTCTCTCTTAAAGCCATGGGCCTGGGGGCCGGCTTTGTAGGCGGAGGGGAGCCAGCGAGCAGGGGCTGGGGAGCACACAGGGGAGCCCCTCGGCCTCCAGGGTGAGCTGCCACGTTGCACGGGGGTGCAGGCAGAGGGAAGCAGGGGGCAGGGGCTGGGAGAGGTGGGCTCTGGGCTTGTTTACGTGTCTGTCTCTCCTACACATACTTCGCTGTGTTCTGCCTGCTATGCTCTTAGCTTCCTTCCCCCTCCACAGCAGAGCGGCTGCCCTCTGTTTTTTTCTCCAAAGGCCCAGCATTACCTACTGTTTGACAGTTCCTTTGAGGAAGGTGCTGCAGATTGCTTCTCCTCCTGAGACAGAAAGAAAAGGGGAAACTCACCCTAGGTGGGGGGACTGAAATATGGAGAGAGAAATGATTTGGTTGTGGGGGAATGACAGGGTGGAAGTTAGTTTTCTATCCCATCGCAGAAAGGAGCTCTCTACAGAGAGGTCAGACCCTAGGGGATTTGGAGGGATTGTGTTAACTCCAATGAAGAACTGATATGAAATGTTTGAAGGTCCCAATATGTTTTTCACAGTCCTCCTCACAGATTCAACAACCTATTGGAATATTTTTGTTAAAAGGGGCTGTATGGCTTGCCAGCTCTCCTTCTTCTGTCCCAGTCTGAGGCCTGAATCTCAAGGTGGCTCCAGTGGTCTGCCTGGTGGCAGGCTTTGAGGATTAAGCCTTCTTCCAGAGTTGACATTTAGTCTCCATTGGTCTAGACTAAAGAGTGTGGAACACCCTCTTGGGCTGTGCGGTTGCTGAGCAGAGTGCAACTTTGAAACTCGAGGGAAATGAAGCACACAGCTCCCCCCCACAAGGGAGGGAGTTGTCCACAAGCCAATGCCATTTTCATCCCACCATGGACTTCATCTGCCAAAATATGTTTTTCCTTGTTAGTCTCTCCTCTGTTCTTGTAATGTCTCATTCTGGTAATTCCTTCTATTTTCCCAGGTCACCATGGAAATAATTTGCCTGCACACATCCCTGGCCTTCCTTGTCCTCCCTCTTATTGTGCTTGGGGCACCCACTGATGAGCCCAACCTCACAGAACCAAATCCAGGTGCTTGCAAGCGCTGTTGTGATCCACTGGAATCCCCTGCAGAAGCCCCACCACTCTCTCCTAGTCACCACCACTTGCCCTACCCAATGCCAGAAGTCCGTCCATATATCAACATCACCATCCTGAAGGGTAAGTGCTGAGCTTGGCCCCTGGGCGTGAGAGAATCAGAACTTAGGGATCAGTGGCACTGTGCTGGAGGCAATAGCTGGGTTACTGACATCCTAGTTAACCTGACAGACTGCCAGATTCTATCCTGAAGGGTATATCAATACATACTTTGCCAAGGGCCCAGTGATTTTGTGCCATGACCAAGTGTAGCCTGAAGGAGGAAAAGCGTGCATATCTTTGCTGTGACCTCTGTGTCTCAGGAAGATGTTTGCCACCAGTTCTTCCTCCCCGCTAGCAGAGAAGTTGCAGTGGAGGTCTCTTGCCAGGCTGGCATGACTCTTTCCTTACCTCAGACTTCCAGTCTGTCTTGTAATGACTAAGGGAAGGAGTAACCTGTATTGAGATACAAAGTGTGCAGGCTTGGAGGGAAGAAAGTGGTGCCAAGCATGACTACGGGGAAGCCTTCTCAGGCTCCACAGGTCACATGCAGCTGTGGCAGGGAAGGGAGCAAGAAGAGACAGCAGATATTTGGATGTACTACCAGGCTAACTGGCAGTGACACCCAGCTTGTTCCACCCTGCTGTGTCTGGTTTAGCTCAAGGGGAAATGCTCCCTATTTTAGATTTGCTCCTCCTTTGAATTCCCCCATCCTGTCTGCCTTTGCTGTGGGCAAAGTCTGTTTCCAGCAGGATCCCACACCACTCATTGTGTGGTTCCTCTGGACTGGCTGGGCAGATGTTCCCCCTTTCTCACGCCATCCTGGAAATAGCTGCAATTTATCAAAGGTCAGAAGTGCATACAGGAGCAGACGGAGGCCTAGAGTAGGGTGTTGTGTTGCAGGGGGAGCTTTGTACCAGCAGTTTTACAAAGCTGTACAAGGGAAGGAGGGCAGAAGGGGAATCAAGCACAAATTAGGGATGCTGTCACTTGTGCTGGAGACTGTTCTGACCCCTGTCTGCTTTCCACACACAAAATACATTATTTTGCCATTCTCTCTCTACCCACCCATAGTATAGACACATAACAGCCAGTGCACCAACCCCAAGGTGGATTTGCAGCATTACGTATACAAGGGGACCAAATGGTGCTGGATTTATCACACTACCAAACTTCTAACCTGCACTTCACCATCTGCCAAGTCTAGCTTGGGTATTCTCCCTCTGACCTCACTCTGTCATTCTCTAATTCTACTGTATTCTCCCATAGACATCAGTGCTTTTCCCCCTTCCCCAGGCTACATCAAGAACTGTGTTCCCACTAAGTGGATGACTGTGTCATGGGAGAGGTGTGTGGGAGGATAGGAACTGGGGTGGGCATAAGGAAATGTGAAGGAGGAGAAAAGCCCAGGATCTCCAAAAGTGTTTTGCAGTTTGGGCTCCATTTTGAGGTGGAATTACATAGGGAAAGGTCCTTGTGCCTCTGACAACATCGTATCGTGTTAAGAACCATAGTCATACTCGGAGCTCTGCTGGCTTTCTTCCCATAAGACCCAATGTTATTGTGACTCTTAGAAGCATTCCTTCTTCTAGCATCGACCCATCCTTGAGCAGTTCTCTGTCTCTGTTGTGCTGTTTCACTGCCACTTCCACTTCTTCTGATATTATATGGGGAATATGTTCTCTGCTTTCTCTTGTAGGAGACAAAGGAGACCGGGGAGAGCCTGGGCTGCCAGGAAAATGGGGCAAAGAAGGGCCACGAGGTGAGCGGGGTGCCCAAGGACAGAAAGGCAGTAAAGGACAGATGGGAACAGCAGGGGACCCCTGCAAGCATCAGTATGCTGCATTCTCCGTGGGTCGCAAGAAAGCGCTGCATAGCAGTGAGGGCTACCAGGTCTTGATCTTTGACACAGTCTTCGTCAACCTCTACAGCCACTTTGACATGTTCAATGGCAAGTTCTACTGCTATGTAGGAGGATTTTACTACTTCAGCCTCAATGTCCACACCTGGAACTTCAAGGAGACCTATATGCACATCATGCACAATGAAGAAGAGGCAGTCATCTTGTATGCCCAGCCCAGTGATCGCAGCATCATGCAGAGCCAGAGTCTCATGCTGGAGCTGCAGGAAAACGATGAGGTCTGGGTGCGGCTCTACAAGCGGGAGCGGGAAAACGCCATTTACAGTGATGATGTTGATGTGTACATCACCTTCAGCGGGTACCTGATCAAACCCAGCCTTGACTAATTCCCCTTTGCTGCCGCCTGGGCCTCTTTGGGCTTTTTCTTCTTCCTCTCACTCTCTCTTTACTGCCCACAGTCACTGCAAATCACTTGGAAATGGGCCTGTCAAGCCTCAGGCATCGAGCATGAGACTTGCCACATTGACTACCACCTCATGCTCCCTTCTCTCTTGCAGCCAGGCCTGTATCTGTGCATTGCTGTCCCTTACCCCTTGCCTCATTACCCCGACCTAGTTTGTTGGTTTGTTCTATAAACTGCCAACAAGCTCTATTGGGCACGTGGGATCCTAGAGCAGGAGGAAAAATAAATGCTGTTCCTAGGAATGGTCCCTCTTTGGAATTTCATGCACAGAGAACTACTTCAGAAAAGGTTAGAAAGTTTCCATTGCCTAGGTATATCCTGGATTCTCTATCCTGTGGATGTGTCAGTTTTGCAGCCTGCAACATGGTTCTACTGTCAGTTCTCTTGCCTGTAAACTGACAGGAGTCTGTTGCCCCCTGTAGCATGAAGAAAATGTGGGACTGGTGAGAGAGATATACCGTCTTTCCAAACAGGAGAGATGACCTTCCAAAGTATGCAACTGACTTGTCTTAGACACCATTCTGCATCACAGAGCCCCCAGGTTACAGCCCAGAATTCTGGGTTTTGTGGCCCTTCCCCAGCCTAGATTGGATATAAGGTCTAGGCTTGGTAGAATAGTCTTCTACTGTGAGGCCTGGAAGAATAGTCTTCTACTGTGTCAGATCTAGCTTTTTGAAGAGAGAAGGGACAAGACCCTTAGCCAGACCCTGCAGAGGCATCTGCCCACTGAATCAGCAGAATCTGCCACTTTATCATCTCTAAAGATCATGAGTGCAGAATGAAAGAGTGAGAGAGAACCCTTACAAACCTTCCCAATGCACGTTTCAATTTCATTTTCCCAGCTTGGGGAAGGCAGCCCACTGCAGAGTAGCATATCCGTTTCCTAAGTACAGGTGGTGCACCTGATTCTGCTCTCTTCTTTGGCAGAAGTGCAACCATACTTTTCCAGTGATGTCAGCAATTATCCCAAACACCTGCAGATGTGAAGGGAGAATTTGAGCAGGACTGTGGCCCCTATATGCCATCACATCAATCCTCCTGAACGTGGTTCTTCTACATCACTATAGAAGGACATCTGTTTCAGGACCTATTGCAGTTTAACTATAGTTTTCAAACCTGGACAAGTTTGACACCGCCTTTCCTCTGTGAGGGAGAACAGGTAGGGGCAAAATGGTAGCATGAAAAGAGGTGAGACTTCAGCACCTTGCCCCAGTATTATAAACATCCCTGTCACATCTTCCATGCCCTTTTCTGGCAACCTCATCAAAATAATTGGGAAAAGTGTGTTGCTAAAACAAATTCTTGCTGTTCTTGTCAGGTTGGAGACCTGGCTGGAATGAGTGCCAGTAGTAGTAAGATTTGATAGCAAAGTTCTCATGCTGCTTTCACTCATATTCCTTTGGGGTTGCTTCAGTCTTGGAGGGGAGTAGATGAGTGACTCAGCACTTTGAAAAAACCTATTTCCACATGTTCTGATACTGCTGCAAACAACAGTGCTAAGGGTTGTCTCTTTTTTGAGTCTCAGGACAGGACAAGCAGGAGAAACTGTATTTCTCCTCTGCCTATAACTAATAATGAAGTCTTCTGACTGACTAGTTTCTGTGGTCTCATGATTAGCCATGGTCCCTGTCTATAGTACTTGGGACTATCAGAACTCTCTCAGCAGAAATATGCATCAAATCATTTTACAAAATGAGGTCAAGTATGCTCTGCCCAGGATGGCAAAGGCACAGGGATATAGGATAAATATTAAAAATGAGAGAATTGCAGGTCATTTTCTCTCTTGTGCTGATTTCTTATTCTGCCTGCTTTGCGAAGGAAGTAGTACAGGCTGGAATGAGTTTCAGAATCTTTGTGTCCCTGATCCTCATCACCATTCTTATTTGGATTGTGGGTATAAATACAAAGTGCATCTGAGGCAGAACGGGGTCTTCCCTGGTGAACCATGTGGTGATAGGATCATAGGAACAGAGGGGGTCTGAGTTTCTTCATCTCTACTGGCAGACTGCATATGTAGAATTGCTCAGAGACAATTTTCATGCAGTAGAGAGGAAGCAACATGCTGGAGGTGGTGTTCAGGACCAAATTTTTTATCTCTTCCTGAGCTGCAGGCTACAAACCCAGATATTATGTATTTACAGTGTGCAGTGCCCCCTTGTCTCCATGAACAGAAGCAAGCCTTTCTAACACTGAATAATCAACCCGAGCTTCTCTGTTCCTCCTTTCCCATGTTTTCTTTGAGTGTCAGTGAAAAATCTGTGGCTTGTGCTTCCCATGAGCCAGATGGTGCCTGATGTGAATGGGAGAGGATGGCAGGGGGACCAAAGGGTATCTTTAACAGGCTTCTTGGTGCTAAACAAGATGCCAATCCCTTGGTGCTAAATCAGCTTTCAAGAGTTTTGGGTGCTTTCTGGAAGGTGTAGTAGGTTGAGTTGTAATGTACTGTGGAATTAATGGTGCTTCAATGTGACAAAAACAAACTCCAAAAACTTTTGTGTATATATATATATATATGTAATTTTCAATGTTATTAAACCTTTCTTCTTTGTTTTGCACTTTGACTTTCACTTTTCCCTCCTTCCTTCTGGGAAGGATTTAAGAAAATTGAGGAAAGATTTATTTAAAATGACGAAAAAATCAGGGAGACAGAATACACTATAATACACTCCAAGTAATTTCATTGAGGAAGGCTGGGGTGAGACTGAGCGCCTTTTGAGAGGGGCCAGATGCTTTATCTTGTGAAAAAAATGGCATATTTCTATTGGATGCTTAGTAAATGTAACAAGAGAGTCTTTCCTGTGTGTTATTCCTATCGTCTCTATCAAGAGGTAAAGCCAGGAAGACTTAGTAGGGTGTGTGGTAGTTCAGGAGTTAAACTGGACACACTTCCTAGAAAAGTTCTGTGTGATGGGAATGGCTTAGGGTTTGGGTCAGATGTAAAATGAAATAATGAATGCACATAAATTTGGGAGTATAGGAAGACTTGATCGTCAGTGGGGAGTGGAGACCTCAAGGTTTGTTTGGAAGATAAGAGAGTGGGTAAAGTCCTGAGGACAAATAGGAGGCCCACTGGAGGTCTCCTTGTAAGACAAAGAAGAAAAAGTTAGGTTTCACAGAAAATCCTTGGAATTTGCACTCAGTGAACCAACACTCCTGTTGAAGTGGAGGAGTTGATGAGAGAACAAGGGAACAGATCTGTATATGGCGTCAATATTCTGAGTCTTACTCATCTTCAAACATCTTCTTCTTTGCTTTTATGGGTACCAGATACCTATTTCTAAGTGTTAGAAAGTAAAAACACATTGTCTCAACACATTGTCTCAACCCCTCTTTGATCCTGTGTCAGGCCCAGAACTAGGGCTACACATATCTGAGTACATAAATTCCAGAATACCTGATAACTCAGCGGTCTTGAGTCCAACTTCTGCGTGCTTTTTATTCTGTCTAAGCAAGGAGATAGAAATGTTCTCCACTGGTGAACGGCGTGGGTACCCTGGTTACAAAAAAAACACAAAAAAGCAGAGTTGCTGAATGCCTTCTTTGCTTTGGTGTTTACCAAGCGCAGCCCTTTAGAGTCACAGGTCCTAGGGACAAGAGAAGAAGCCGGGGGAGAGGAAGACCTGCCCTGGGTAGAGGAAAATTGGGTCAGAGAGCACCTAAGGAAACTCAATACCCACAAATCCATGGGCCCTGATGGGATGCACCCCAGAGTTCTGTGTGAGCTGGCAGATGCCATAGCTAAGTCTCTCTCCATCATCTTTGAAATATCCTGGAGAACAGGGGAGGTGCCAGAGGACTGGAAGAAGGCCAATGTCATGCCAGTCTTCAAAAAAGACAACTACAGGCATGCTAGTATGCAGAGCTATGCAGGGCAGGGGCACAGGGAGGCTGGAGCTGGCTCTTCATTTCCTTCAATCCTGGCCAGACTTTCTTATATGTGCGGCAGGCATGGGAGGGGGCTCAGGTCCAGCTACTATATGGGTTCTGCCCCATGTCATAGGATATTTTGCTAGGAGAACTGTTCCTGAGGCTTCATTTCTGTGATATTGTGCGTTCTCCTTTTCCAGCTTGCTCTTCCTCCTGCCTTTCCATATAATCCAGGAAGTGTACTTCCCTTAACAGTCTGCCTTGCTTATAACCCAGAGGCAGGGCTGGAGCATGATATAGCACTTCAGCCAGCAATGCGCAGCACAGCAAGCAGAGCCCCAGCCAGAATATTGCAGCCAGACTATATCAGTAGCTTAAAGGTACCCTAGTTACGCTATTCTAGAGTAACTACAGTAACTATTCTAGAGATGTTCCCTATGTTACTGCTGTGCGAGAGCCAGTGTTGGGTCCAGTGGGCTAGTTGCAGACCCTGTCCATGGCTGCCTGAAAGAAGAGGGCACGAATGCATTACTGAATGCAGTTACCAGACTGTGAAGATTGCTTGGCCCTCCTCTGACCACTGTGGGAAAAGGAACACTTGCTCGGCCGTGCCAGGTTTCAGAGACCAGCTCAAAGCTGTGCTGCTATCACACCCACGCATGCAAACACATATACCCACCACATATGGACATCTCTCGCCTTCCTCCCAGCGGAAACAGTTGCCCTTTGCAAGCCTGGCTTGCTCTGAAGATGTTATCAGGAGGTGGGTAAAGGGGGGCTGAAACAGCAGACCTCCTTTGTACACATACAACTCCTTTGCATCATGATGTGCTTTACCCACCCCCGCTCCGCATCAGACCTCTGCGATCTCTCCCTCCTCGGTTATACCACAGTGAGTGGCAGGGCAGAAGATTAAGTTTAAAGGCTTCTGACACCTTCTCAACCCACAGGCCAGTACCATTGCTTGAGTCTGTGTCACTTAACTCACAAAGGGCCAAGAAATTTTTGGAGACTCTCATACCCTTCTGAGTCTCTTCTTGTAAGTACTAAAATGAGTGGAGGAAGAGAAAATACAAGGAGGGGACTCTTCATATACCATGGGAAGGCTGGGAATCCAACTTTGGCTGAGGGGCAGCTGTGTGTGTACTTAACCCACTCGCATCTGTACCTTCAGGAAACAAGGCATCAACCTAAAAATGCTGTGGACCTTTGACTGTAAGGGAGCCCAGACAATACAAATAG